AAGCAGTCACTCTACATTTTAAGTCTGCACAAGTTATATGATATAGAATTTTAACTATATTTTACATTTTATATTTTATATATTTTATTATGTACACTGAAGAAGACCTCAATTAAAAGAGGTCAAAACGTTTGTTGTTTTTGTTAAATTTTAAAATTTAAATAAAATTAAAATTAAAATACGAAACTAAAGTATCTGACTTTAACTCTATTATTAATATACTAATGTAACAACCCTCTTAGGTACATATGCAGTTACCTTAATTCGTCAATTAAACCAATTTAATTAACAATCATAGGTCTCTAGGAGAGATGTGCTAATTAATTAAGAGAACTTTTCTCTGAGAGCCGTGCTAAACTTTTTATGACACTTTTTACAAGTTTCATAAATGTGTGACTTATGAAGATAGGACATTCCAAGTTTTCGTGTAAAATTCATTTTTCTTCGAGCGTTCCAAAAGGCTGCTGCTTCCCATGACATATAGCCCGTCAATTACGAGAAAAAGCGTAAAATTTTTAACTTTAACAGTTTAATTATCACAAAGTTTTGAACTAACTAAATTCAAATTCTTGTGGGATATTTTATGTAGAATTCAAATTTTCATATTATATTCAAACATATTTATTATTCTACTGGAAGAGTTTGGAAATTTTATCATGATTAATTTGCAACATATTTATGCTTCTTTGTATCAGTGTAAATGCCAGAACCATGCACATTCATCTCAAAAGAAATGGTAACGTGAGGTGCCCGTAATCCGAACTTACCGCATTTTTGTCAACATTTTCGGCTCGGCGGTAAAGTTATGGCCTGAAGAACACTAAGTGAAGAATTTGACCCAGAATTTACAGTTCCTTCTGTGGAACATGGTAGTGGTTTAATCAAGGTATAGGTCTGTTTCACGCGTAAAGGGGTTGGAAAACTGTATGTTTTGGATCGTTTCATTGACAGATATTAGTACCGCGATATAGTAGAACAAAATCTATTGCCTTTAATTGAAAATTTAAAATTGTTAAAAAATGCACCTTTATGCACGGGGACCGAGATATTGCATTGTTATTGAAAAGTTGTGATTTTGTGAAAAAAAGAGCACCTCACAATGTTTGGAAATTTTCTCCATGAAGAAGTGGAACGGATAGGTTAAAAAGGACATATTAGTGATCCGTGGCTTCTGGGCTGTCCAGCTACGTGTGTTTGAGTTAAAAATAAAATGGTGTGAAAACTTCGAATTACGTGCGCCTTACAGTAATATTGGATCGTTATATCGAGAAATGGACGATTGTTCGAATTCACTAGTATGTTTTCAAAAAACTTTCGATATTCAGGAAGAAAATCTTCCTTCGGATCATCCACACATCGTTTGCACTTACAAGAACATAGATCGAGTCTATTTCTCTATGAATAGGGGGTGTGGTGAACATCCACACCCTCAGGATGATACGTGTCCTGTAAGTTGTCTTTAACATGAAAGTATTGACACATAGTGCAGAACTTATTCATCATCACTATCATATCATTTCTACTCCGTAAGTAGGTATGAGTTTATAACGCATAGTAATAGTATATGAAGCAAATAAAGTAGAATATATAACCAACGTGTTGGGAGCATTTCTAAATAAACACATACTTATCGTTCTTTGTCATCATGTTACCTCTTCAACGTGTCATTCTCCTTATCTGCTATTGTTTCTTGACCTGCAGCGCTCTTCAATGCATAACTAATTGTTCACATACATTCAGCTTTGATACACCATTCAATGTACCAAGTCAGTGCAATCAAGTGGCATCGGCCGGAAAATGCCGTGTAGAGTTTACTTTTTGGTACTATCTTCAAGAATATGTCGTGGCATTCAAAGCTGAGTCGTCGAATACCATCATTAGTACGGATAATCAACATCATACCATGATTGAAATACGACCAACCGTTTCGTTCTACTTTAAGTATGACATCCATCATGTATGCAAGGATAGAGGTGACTGCGCTCAAGAATTTGCACGAACCACAATAACTGAAATGCTTAAGCGTCAAATTAATTATCTTTCTATCGTAAGTGAACTTAGACCTCTAGTCTTAGTTGATCCACAATCTCCGAACAATACGGACCTTGTCTGTTTCGACCCAAAAGAAAATGTGCGCCAATGTGCGATTGCAACTAATCGTGGCTCATGTGTAATTTCGGATAAATTAACAGAAAATGAAATAACTCGTTATTGTAACAATGACATGCAGGCCATGTTGGGGTATTTAAATATTTCTGATTTGGGTAGCTCTGCTACATTTGATGTTCATTGTACTCGACCCTTATGTAATGGACACTTAACACTAAAAGCTGTTAAAGACATTCTGTTCAAGTACGGCCTAACAAAAACACCTGAAGGACGATTGAATAATGGTTCACAATGTATAAAAATATCTATTTGGCTCATTGTTAGTCTATTGACAAATTGGAATTAGACTAAAATAATCTACGGCACCGAGGTAGTAGCACAAATAAAAAGCACATTTCTCCCCTAGTAAGAAAATGGGTTACCTCTACCCACTGAAAAAAAATAATCAAAATTCATGCAAGATCCCGCGGGTTATCGGTATTAAAATATCTGGGGATGTTTCTTACCTTTACGCAGGATTTGTATACTGCCAGCCCTGACAGAACCCTGCATAGTTTATGTAAGATCAGCATGGAAAAATCCTGTGTAAAGGTAAGGAACATCGCAAGACTTTTTGACTTATTCAATCCACAAGTTTTTCCTAAGAGATCTGACAGAATTTCGTTGGTTGAAAGAAAAACGTTTTTTTTCTCCATGTCTATCCTGCGGTATCCAGCAATCTTTTCTCACCAATATCTGTCCAGGGTGACCGTAAAGGAACTTGTCTGTATTTTTTTTTGGAAAGTTAAGTACTTTTTTCTTATAAAGTTATAAAAAATTTTCTCGTGTCCAATAAACTTCTAGAAGAGGAACATCTTAATATTTTGACTTTAGCATGCATTTTCATGCGTACAAAATCAAACTATTAATAGATAGCTGAAAAGATCTTTTTTTATGTCAGGAATATTCTTTTTTTTCCATTAATAAGAAATTAAAGTCATTAGAATGATCCTGCTACTGTGAAAAAAGATGTATAGCAAAGCAGAGATATCAGACTATTCTAAATTTCTTCAGCTTTGAATGGTATCCTCTGGTTTCGTCCCGTTTATTTTCTAGCATTCTATTCATTTTATAACTATTCAGTTTTTTCTATCAACTGTGTACTAATTAATATTAATATAATTCATTAAGATAACGTAAGAAACTAATACGTGGCATATTCATACACACATTGATACTTATCAATATGAAGTACGTTTTTCTAAACCTGGATCAATAGCAATTCAATGTTAACGAAGTCATTTTGTATACTTCATGATAGAATTTAACTGTTTAATGGAAAAGTTTTTGCAAAGAAACAATACTCATGCATGAAACAATGGCAAGAATCTGACGAAACGATAGGGTGAAAGTTTACAACAGCTGTGATAATAAATTGAAGGAATATTTACATGATCTGAAAATGGTACTTTCTCTGGAACTGAAATTGCAATTAAATGTGGCAACTGTGTTAATACTGTAAAATTACCTGTTTCATTGTAACTCGTAAATAAAATAATAAATGTGACTTATAAAGGATTAGTTCTCGTTTCGCCTCCCACTCTCACACCGTCCTTCCGCCCTTTAATGTTGTTTGAAGTTATGGTCGGCCAAACGAGAATACACCTTATAAAGCCATCTATCAATTTCTTAGATTATCTTAATGAATTATATTAATATTGATTAGTATACAGTTGATAGAAAAAAAATGAATAGAATGCTAGAAAATAAACAGGACGAAACGAGAGGGGACGAAACAAGTATGGGATGAAATGAGACGGGACGAAACGAGAGTAATCATTTCGAATACTCTGCTGAATCGTATATAATTTAAAAACTTCGGTAAAACATTGACAAGTTATAGTATATAACTTTAATAGTAAAAATATTAAGGTATACATTTTCCGGAAGTTTACTTGACACGAGAAAAGCTTTTGTGACATTACAAGAGGTTTGCGTATTAGGATATCTTGTGTATTACAAGTGAAAACAAGAAGGAAAAAATTCCGCAGGCTATGCAAAGTGAAGAATCTGCGAGATATATCGCATGAACGCATGTAAAAGTTTCTGCATGGTGTGCCTAGAGAAGAATCCTACAGGATCCTGCAGAAAAGAAACTTGAAAAGTGAGCGTGTTAAAGAATCCTGTTTAATTATACTTATCAACTTGCAGGAAAATTTTCGGCGAGGTAATGTGATGTAAAAATCTGCAGTATATATCCAACATTCACAGGACTTTTCAGATTCCTACGTGTCCACGCTGGAATTCGTAAATGTTTTTTTAGTGTCTAGTCGAAACATGTGTTTTAGAATTTATATTCTCTCAGTTTCACAAATATATATGGTTTTTTATGGAGATTTTGCAGCATTGAAGGTATTCTTTCTGGAATGTAAGCACAAAGGACTCTATGTGATTTCATGGTTTCTTCTCAATAGGCGTGTAATATGAAAATGCTGTCTCAATATCCGCCGAAGGGATTTTGATAAATCTCAGTACTTAAGGGTTTCGAGTGATGCTCTTTCCGATGGCTAACTCGAAATAATTTTAAAAATCTTAGAAGTAGGGTTTCCAGAAAACCATGGTTTTTCACACATCCATTTACAGAAAATAATTTTTTTAAAGAAACACTTGTCTGTAGAAATATTTCAAATTAGCGGTTCTATTTAGAATTGAGCGGGCTCGGGCGGAGAAAAAAAGTCGGACTCTCTAGCTCATAATCTAATATTATTTTATTTTAACTTTTAAATTTTACATTTTAAATTTTTTTAAAACTGCATTCTTCGCGTTCACAAGCAAACTGAAACATTTCCAAGGACATGGTTGGATAGAGCTCGAAAAACTGAACATATCTGGACAGTTGGTGCGTTCTAGATCTTGGATAAAAATGATTTTCTAAAGGTTTTTCAAAAACCTACAATTTATATTTTAGTTCTTTTTCAGTACTTTAAAAGCTCTTTTAGACATCCAAAAACCATTGGATTTGGTCAGCTCTTCAAACTCTATCGATAACCATATCTTAAAATTTCATCACATGCTTTTAAAGTACTGAAAAAGAACTAAAATATACAGGGTGGCCCATAAGTCCGGATTCAATTTGTATAATAATTTTTCTAAAGTAAAATACATGTTTGTAAATTTCTCTCTATGATGAAAAGACGCAGTAAAACACGCTCTACAAAATAGCTTTTGATTGACCCCGCTAGCACATATAGTAAGAAAGTTATAGACTTAGAAATGTGCTTCACAAAAAAGAAAATTTAACCATGAACTCTCTTCGTATGGTGGTGTTTTCAGTGAAAGTCTCGTAACTCCATCAAAACAAAAGATTTTTAGATGGGGTTTATTCTGTTTTGATCAGAAATGATTGCTCTTCTCTACTTAAGTGCAAAATCAAACTTCGATCACGTTTTCTATTTCTTGGTTGAGGACATTGTCGGAAACAGAGGTTTTCAATTTTTAAAACTTCATTCTCGAGTACACCATCTACTCTGAGAGAAATTTTTTACAGACCACGAGAAAGAGTGCATTCGAAAGTAGCAAACATAAACTGGATTTTCACTTTTGCTACGCTTTTTTACGGAATAACAGGAGAAGAAAAAGTTCGAGTGGAAAAAAATACTGAATTTACAAAGTTTTCATTTTTCCACCTCGCGTATAATTTGAATTTCTTGATTGAAGTTCTGAAATTAAAGTTTAGATATGATTTTGTAGAGCATTGCATGGCGCTTCTATTAAAAAAATAATTTGTTCTATGGGACCTAAGAAACAGGAGTTCAAGCAAAAATACCGAGATCGGTTGCACCGTTAGTTTTTCTTTTTTGTGAAGCACATTTCTAAGTCTATAACTTTCTTACTATATGTGCTAGCGGGGTCAATCAAAAGCTATTTTGTAGAGTGTGTTTTACTGCGTCTTTTCATCATAGAGAGAAATTTACAAACATGTGTTTTACTTTAGAAAAATTATTATACAAATCGTATCAGGACTTATGGGCCACTCTGTAAATTGTAGGTTTTTGAAAAACCTTTAGAAAGTCATTTTTATCCAAGATCTGGAACGCACCAACTGTCCAGATATGTTCAGTTTTTCGAGCTCTATCCAACCATGTCCTTGGAAATGTTTCAGTTTGCTTGTGAAGGCGGAGAATGCAGTTTTAAAAAAATTTAAAATGTAAAATTTAAAAGTTAAAATAAAATAATTTCAGATTATGAAAAACCATGTTTTTCTGGAAACCCTATTTCTAACATTTTTAAAATTATTTCGAGTTAGCCATTGGAAAGAGCATCACTCGAAACCCTTAAGTACTGAGATTTAACAAAATCCGTCCTGTTCTTCGTACTGTAAAAATTGAAAACTTTCTCATGTTACACGCCTATTGAAAAATACTTGTATAGAAATGCTCGAAGCGCGTCAAATGGTATAGAGAAAATCATGTATCCGTTATAAAAGCGAACAATACGGTGAGTTAGTTATTTTTTCCTCAGTTGCACACGCGTACAAAAAACGAAACAAGATTCGCGAGAACATTCGCCAATTGGCGCGACTTCACCGTAGTTTGTCGAAAAGAAAGAATTTTGGAACAAAATGGTGTCTGCAGAAAAGTTGTTCAGAATGTCATCTTCTATAGTAGATCCTCAGGATAATACTTTGCTGATTTGAAATTCCTTCAACTCGCTTTTTTAATTAAAAAATACGGCTTTTTAATTTGTTTTATTTACATTTCACTAGAAATCGATCCGTTCAAATCCATGGAGATGTTTTTAATGAATTTTAGTTCATTCTTGATGAGTGCTAATTAATTAAAAATAATTCCATTGTGTAGCTCTATTCTTTCTCTATACGTCTTTATTAACCGATGATCCGAGATCCTGTCGGTACAAAATGCCAAATTATAGTATAACAATGGTTTTCAAAAAAAACGTTTTAATTTTAAAAAACAATTGTCATACAATCATATTTTACAAGCACAATTCAACGTCTTATTTAACTACTGTTTTACAGAAAAGAGTCTGAACACTCGGCTAGCAATTTTGATACGTCAGTCTCATAAGAGGGTATAGCTACTCCACTATTGTTCGAAAACCATTTGGCTCAGACTTCGTATGCTGAACCATGATCATGAAAATGTTTAGACTTTCGAAGGCAACGTATTGAAAAAGCACTCACACGCTACTACATACGCAAAACGTTAACGAAAGCAGGTTTAAAAAACATATTTGTATCAGTGGAGTGTTGTAGCGCAACAATTAGAACAACGTTCTTCTACCGATATTCCATTACAGGGAAAGGAGAATTGCAACAACAATAACGCTTGAATCCGAATTAAGTGA